TGGTGCTATTTTATTTTTCACAGCTATATGAATATGAATAATAGATAAATGGCTTAAATATATTTCCATATACATATATAATATATTTAAAGCTGCACGACAAGGCTATGATTAAAAGACGTTAAATTAGTCATAGTTGGCTTTAATTGTCCAAAGTTGTTCAAGTTGCATTAAATCATTTAATTTTAAATGCTTTATCTAATTTAAATAATACTTTTATTACATAAAACACGCAATTATATACACAATAATTATACCTACAATTATATATATACAGTTATGTACACAATAATTGTTACATACATATGTAAACTCTCTCAGCTTAAAAGTCATTTGCTTTTCGCACTCTTCGTAAGAGACTTGCTACAATTTCAACTATCACAGTTTGCCAACTCAAGCACAATTTCTTACAGTGCATAGGCGTCGTTGTTTATTCTTTTCATAATAAAGACGCGACAATTGAAATTGCTGGCGCATTGGCTAAGCAAAGTCAAAGTCAAGCAGCGGCCTGGCCCAGCGAGGAGACAAAGCACTTAAACAGCTGTGTGAAGAAGCAGCAGCAGAAGCTGCAGCAGCAGCAGCAAAGGCTGCTTGACATTTTGGTTTTCTTTTCTTATATGCTTGTTTTGGGGGGCAAGCGCAAGGATTATCACTCAAGTTCATTATGAGGCATGCCCCGATAAGATGTATGTGTGGTTGACTAGCTTGTGGTACACAGAGCTCAAGTGCTGGACGGCTGGGCTGAAGGTCGTCGTTTGTCAAGGCAAGGGCAAGGATATAAGCTCAGAAGCATAATGCCAAGATTGTGTGTATATACACACACACACACACACACACACACATTTAGAGATAGAGCTATAAAAATTGTGTGCGGCAAATGGGATTTAAATTACCAGCGCACAGAAGTTGCAAGTTAGGAGCAGGCGCAGAGAGCAAGAGAAAGAGAAAGAGAGTAGGAAGGAGAGAGAGAGCGCGCGACAGTGGCAGCGACACGCGGCGTATGAGCAATATCTCAATATTGCTCATACGCAGCGTGCCACCAAATCACGCTTTGAAGTGTATAGACGCGTATATATGAGCAAATATCTGTATGTATGTATGTATATATATGTACATATATATAATATATGTATATACCATTCTTGGTTTTTTACAGTCAATATGATTGATTACTCACGGATGGTGGCGGCGGCTTACAAGCCTATANTGACTAGCTTGTGGTACACAGAGCTCAAGTGCTGGACGGCTGGGCTGAAGGTCGTCGTTTGTCAAGGCAAGGGCAAGGATATAAGCTCAGAAGCATAATGCCAAGATTGTGTGTATATACACACACACACACACACACACACACACTTAGAGATTGAGCTATAAAAATTGTGTGCGGCAAATGGGATTTAAATTACCAGCGCACAGAAGTTGCAAGTTAGGAGCAGGCGCAGAGAGCAAGAGAAAGAGAAAGAGAGTAGGAAGGAGAGAGAGAGCGCGCGACAGTGGCAGCGACACGCGGCGTATGAGCAATATCTCAATATTGCTCATACGCAGCGTGCCACCAAATCACGCTTTGAAGTGTATAGACGCGTATATATGAGCAAATATCTGTATATATGTATGTATATATAATATATGTATATATATACATTTATACTGAATGCCTTTTGTTAGCCACTTGAATTTTATTGGCCCCACGCACATGCACACACAAACTCACACACAGAGACACACACTTTAACAATGCTGCTGCTCTGTATTGAGTTAGGTCTTTGAGTTTTGGGCTAAAATCAAATGTAAACTGCTTGAGCGTAGCTTTGGGGCTTTTATTTGCCAGCTTTTTGGGCCGCATATTAAGTTTGTTTTATTTTCTCATTGTTGTTGTTGTTGCTCTTATTGCATAGGCATTTTGGTAAATTGTTCATTGTTTGCCTGCTCCCGTTGAGTGCACTGCATTTGGGCCCGAAAAAAAAGCGTCTCTCATGGGACATTGGGTCGCGCGTCTGGGCCAGAAACTTGTAGTTGACATCCGCACATTTATGGCCACATGCAGTATTTATGTTCGTGCATAAATATTGTGTTTACCCAGCCCTAACCTTCTATTATTTAAATATTGACAGCTAACTTTATTGTTTGCCTGCTGAGACAATGCGGCACAGTGAGACTGTAGGAGCTGCTATAAGCACAGCATCTTTATAAATGATCAAATAATACATGTTCTCAGCGCTTCTTTATTTAACTTGACAATTGTCGTTTGCCCAAGCAATTCGCATCGCTGAGCTACCTTATTTGCACTCAGTTATATAACATTATGAACAGCAGCATAGTTGGATTGTGTTTATAATAATTGAAAAAAGAAAAAAGAAAAAAAATAAAATAAAAAAAGAAAGAGAGAGAACAACTTTTTGCTAAAGTTTTTCATAAAGTGCATGGAAATTATAATGCCAACTCATCTGGAATAAGTGACAGCCGCAACAGCTTTCGTAAGTTTTGCACAGCAAACAACTTGAAATACATTTCATCTCATCTTTTTAGTTTTTTGTTTTGTTTTTGTTTTTGTTTTTGCTAGTTTTTCTCCAGTTCTCAACTCAAGTGGGCGGCAAAAGTGGCGTCGGCGTCGGCGGCGGCGGCTGCGTAACTTGTTCAAGTTTTTGCTTAACATTTTCCAACCATTTACAGTCGTAATCTCTCAGTGCTCTAGGGTTTTAGGGTCCGTTTCTATATGCCATTTTGTTTTTATATAGTTATATAATGAACTGAGTTGATAAAATCTTTCATTCAGCTTGCAGACAATCACAATACTCTGTCTCTTTCCCTCGAATGGCACATTTTAAGCTAACATCAATTTTAATGGCTTTAATACTATTACACTGTGTTTTCAGCACATACAAGTTCTAGATAAAGACGTAACATTGCACAAGCCAACGCTAATTGCGTTTTTCTTTGCAATTTTCACGATCTCAATATAGCTTATTTTAGTCGGAATGCTAATTGAATTACGAAAATGTTACATATATTCTACTATCGTATTCTATTTTATTCTACTGTCACTCCATGTATTATTAAATGATTTGAATTTAATAAACTTGCAGAGTTTTAGTGATATTTTAGGTATTAATTATTGTAATATTTTAGTATATTTTAAAATATGATTATACCAATTTTAAATTAAAACTTTTTTAAAATTTTTCTATTTTTATCATATATATTTTTGTTTTATATATTTTATATTAATGTAAATTCTCAAAATATAATAATGAAAACTAAAAAAACAAAGGTGCGAGCTTTGTTTTTTTTTTATTTTTATTATTAAATTTTTTCCTTTTTATATTTTAAATTTACATTTGTATGTTATTTTTTTTTAAGATATGTTTTTTTTTAAAACATTTATAAAAATTTTTAATTTTAATTTATTAATTAAAAAATTCTTTAATAATAGTTAGATGATATTTTTAAATTATTATTATTCTTTTTTTTTTTTGTATTGAATTTGATTTTATTTTCAATTTGAATTCAACTCGAATATTTTTATTCTTCTAAAATAATATTAAATTTGAACCAAATTTTGTATTCAGGTTATTGAATATTTTATCACATTAATTTATAAAACTAGGCAGCTAAAAAAAAAAATCCGATTCTAGTGTCAGATATGCGTAGCGTTATTGCCTAAATTCATAAAATATTCCACTGAATAATGTAAAACAAATATTCTTTCATTTCAATTCTCATGAGTTCATCTAAAGTATACATACATATATAAGGAGTTTTCAATCAGCTCTAAACAGTTTAAATATATATATGTATATATTTACAATTCTAGTGCTGTCTAGGTGACTGAGCGCTACCCTTTCACACCTCTCACTCACTCCACTCTGCGCAAACACAGTCAAACACATTATCTCGCTGCTCTATGCGATTTTCATAAAATGCAAATGAGACTGGCTCCCACTCAAACCTGTTACTACCTGTTACTGCATGATTCCACATGCTTCTCGTAGCTACGTTCATAACGAACTTCCATCGCTCTTTGCCTTTCAGCACAGCCGAACAACGACAGAGAATTGAACAACAACAACAGAAAATATGTCAAGCTTGAGGAAGACCACAGCGGCGCTGATAAAGCGCACCAACTACTCCGCAACGTCGACGCTGTTGCCCCGAGCTGGCGGCGGTGCGGCCGATGCAGGAGCCGCACCACATGACGGCGTGGGCGTGGCAACGGAAATTGAAAAATCTTTGGCGTCTGGAGCGATGCAGCGACAGCGACAACAACAACAACAACAACGAATCGAATCTGCCATCAGCAGGTGAGTGTTGACAGCTAGCAATACCTGCTGCATACTCTGACATACAATTTGCAACAGCAACACAACAGCAGCAACAACAGCAACAACAGCAGCAGCTGCCACAGCTACAACAACAACAAGCGCAACAGCGACAGCTACACCTGCTGTGCGTCCCTATGAGGAGGTGCCCGGGCCTTATCCATTGCCATTGATTGGCAATTCATGGCGCTTTGCGCCACTAATTGGTTAGTTAAACATGCGATTCAGCACAAACACACACACACACACATACACATACAGAGTATCGTTTAACACATATACAAACGATTTTCATAGGCACGTACAAAATTAGCGACCTCGACAAGGTAATGCACGAGCTGCATATCAACTACGGCAAAATGGCCAAAGTGGGCGGACTCATTGGGCATCCGGATTTGCTGTTTGTGTTCGATGGCGATGAAATACGCAACATATTCAAAAAGGAGGAGGCCATGCCGCACAGGTAAGCATGCCATGCCCACTCAATGTGTGTGTGGGGGGGGGGGGGGCGTTAAGCCCAACCGAGCAAACATTTTCACATGCATATTTGAAAATCCGTAACAGGAGCTTTAAACGGAGCTTATTATTAAATTATTAGCTTGCAACGGGCATGGCAATTTCAGGCAGTGCTGAGAGAGTGCTGAGAGTGTGTGTCTATATACATATAGAATTATAGTTTTGGGCTAAAGTGAAGCTTATTTGGATTTGTGTAAGGGAAATTGCAAGAACGAAAGCAAATTGCTGTAAATTAAATGTAAAGTTTGTTTTGGGTTGTAAATAATATGGCTAGCAAACGAAAGGGCTGAAAGATATGATAGAGGGTTTATAGAATAGATTTGCCTTTCAATTGAATTGAGTTTCTACTATATTAATATTTTTT